CGCAGTGGCTATACTGGTGCAAACAGGCTGCGATAATGGTACAAATAGGGTGCGGGCTTGCAGGCCGCAGTGGCCATACTGACACGCTTATACCATCATAGCCACTGCGGGCTCCCAGCCCGCACCCCTGCTTGTAGAATTACAGCCAGTGCGGGCTGCACCCCGTTGATTGATGCTACCAGTACCATTACAGCCGCTGCGGTCCACAAACAGGGTGAAGGCTAGCAGCCTGCACAGCCCGCAGTAGGTCACAGTGGCTATACAACACGGTACTGGCTGGCCCCGCGGACTATATTGGTACAAACAGGGTGCGGATGGCTATAATGGCGACAGTTGTCGCAGTGGGTTTACTGGTACAGACAGCTACACTGGCAGCCCGCAGTAGCAAAAATGGAACAAATACGGGTGAGCGCAGTGGTTATAATAGTATAAACAGCCAAGCACGGGCTGGTGGCTGTAATGGTACAAGGCTTGACATGGCTACGTGATGGTGCAAACAGCGTGCGGGCTGACAGCCCGCACAGCCCGCAGTAGCTATAATGGTACAAACGGGGTGTAGGCTGGCAGCCAGCTGAGGCGATATTTGTACAAACAGGGTGCAGGCTGGCAGCCCGCAGCCGCTTTCATGGTGGGCTGGCAGTGGTTTTATAATGGTGGCAGCCCCGCGGTGGCTACATTGATACAAACAAGGTGCGGCTGGTTGCCCGCAGTGGCCATAGTTTTGTAAACAGCCACAGTGGCTACGCAATAGTACAGACAAGGTGCGGGCTGGCATCCTGCCAACAGGGTGCGGGCTGGCAGCCCGCAGGGGTGCATGCAAGGTGGCTAAACACGTAAAGGCTGCTGGCAGCCCACAGCGGCTTTAATGGTGCAAACCCGCAGTGGCTTTACTGGTACGGGCTAGCAGCCTGCAGCGGCTTTACCCGCACAAACACACGGGTGCGGGCGGGCAGCCCGTATACTGGTACGGGCTGTCAGCTCGCAGTGGCTTTAATGGCACAAACCGGGGGTAGCGGCCAGCAGCCCGCAGTGACTATACTGATACGGGCTGACCCACTGCGGCTTTAATGGTACAAACAAGGGTGCGGGTAGCTGCCACACCGTTCCCTCCCCCCCCATGGTATCCTCCCCCCCTGCACCCCTTGTGGGGTGGGGGCCTGTGGTGGTACCCTTCGCCCCTGCATCCCCAACCGGCGCCGTGGTTTCGTTGTCTGCACCCCCGGTAGCTCAGGCTTTGGTTGGCCTGAATTGGAATACGCAACACGTGTAACACAAAGACTTGTTGTCACGATTATAGTGACTCAACTACTGATACGTGGAACTTTTAAGAGGACTTGTTCTGATCTTCTCCACCACCGTTCATGTCTACAACTGCATCTACTATGGTCGTGCGGCCCGCGTCCGCCGTGTTTGAAGTTCTTTTGTGTTACTCTTTATCTTGCTTCTTGCTGTGGCACCGGTGGTACTGCTCATGATGTTGTGCTGCTCTAGACGGCGACGCGAGTCGACAATCGGATCGTCTTTGACATCATCACTGTCGTCGTCATCTTCATCATCAATACCATCAAAAGAAGAGCTCCCACCATCACCATCGCCTTACAACCCTCATAATTAAGCAATGTAATTCATGTCGCGCAGATTGCCACTTTCCGCACAGGGCAGGGGTGGGGTACCATAGGGGTGGGGCGTGATACCACTGGCGGCAGTGGCTAATTATACTGGTAGGGGCTGTTAAGTCGCAGCGGTTTTAATGACACAAACAGGAGGTGTGCCAGCCTAAAATGGTGCCGGGTTGGCCCATTGCGGCTTTAGTGGTACAAATGAGTGCGGGTTTGCAGCCTGCAGCGGCTTTGATGGCAGCCCGCAGTGGCTTATTGGCAGCCCGCAGTGGCTATACTGGCACATGCTGGCAGCCCGCAGCGGCTTTAATAACAGGTGTGCAGGCTTGCAGCCCCCCAGTGGCAAGCCATACTGGTACGGGCGAGCAGCCCGCAGCGGCTTTAACTGGCACAAACACATGGGTGCAGGCAGGCATTCCGCAGTTGCAAAACTGGTACGGGCTGTCAAAATGGTATAAACAGCCGCAGTGGCTACATAATGGTACAAAAGGTGCAGGATGCAGCCCCCACAGCGCGCAGTAGCTCCAATAGTACAAACAGGGTGCGGGCTGGCAGCCCGCAGTGGCTATACACTGGGGCAAATAGGCTGCGGGCTGGCAGCCCGCAGTGGTGATAACGGTGCAAACAGGGTGCGGGCGTGCGGGCAGGCAGCGTGTAGGGGCTAGAGTGGTGCAAACAACGTGCCGGCTGGCAGCGTGCAGTGGCCAAATTGGTACAAACAGGGATCGGGCTGTGGGCTATGGCTACAATGGCAAAATGTTGCGGGCTGGCAACCCGCACTGGCTGTAATTTTATAAACAGCTGCACTGGCTACGTAATTGTACAAACAGGGTGCGGGCTGGCAGCCCGCACAGCCCGCAGCAGCTATAATGGTACAATCAGGGTGTAGGCTGGCAGCCCGCTGTGGCGACATTTGTACAAACATGGCAGCATGCACTGGTTTTATAATGGTGGCAGCCCTGCAGTGGCTATAGTGATACAAACAAGGTGCGGGCTGGCAGTCCGCAGTGGCTATCTCCTTATTACGTCCCACAACACACTCACTGGCTATGTTCAACTTTGCTCGTTTGCATATACTCCACAAGTGCGACTTAACTGACCTGCAATTGAACCGTTCTATGTTCTTTATATGTTCTGTACATACATGCTAACAGGACCGCAATAGGTGCATGCAGGGTGGCAGCCCGCAGTGGCCAAACCGGTAAGGCTGGCAGCCCGCAGCGGCCTTAAATGGTATACAGAAACAAGGGGCTGCAATGATAATTGCAATCCAAAAGTAGGACAAAAGACGTGACTCCTATCTCAATAGGCCTTGGACGTGGGCACGTGAGAATGTTTGTTATATGTTACCGGATGCTGTCGTGTTGCCACGTCTCAGTTATTCATCAAACCATGGCAGCAGGATGACATGGCGATGTCTTCATATCATGTGGGCTCGGTGTTGGCAATTTGCTTGTTGACCGATTTTTGTTTGCTGGCAAACGACATTCCTGGCAATCTCTGCCAGTCGCTGGGGGTTATACGGACAGCGCTGCGATGTTCCGGTGTTTAAACACATTTACTCAACCAAATGCAGCAACAGTTGAATGCTGGGGATAAAGGTTCCTTAAACCTTAAATCGTAAACCTTAAGCCTAAAGCGTAGTTGGCAGTCCTTTCAGTGTTCACATGGCGCGATTCTGTTGTGATCGCAGCGTCAGGTGCAATGTTTGTTCTCGTTGGATTTGGCAATGCTTTTTCTAGTCAAACAAAGGATACTATGGTACATAGTAGCATGTTATAGTGCATCATGGTATATAGTGTATTCTGGTACCAGAGCATGTTGTAACAGACTATGGTATGTTAGAGTTTGTTATAGTATACAATGGCATGCTATAGTATATTCGGGTATGTCATCGTATGTTATAGTGTATTCTGGTATATTAACGTATACCATTAACAGATGATGGGTTTCGTTGGTCAATGTTTGTTGTTGCGATCAGGCCAGGGCAGAGGGTTCGTTTGTAAATCTATCTGAGCACATATATTGCACATGGTTGTGCGGTTGAGACCGCCCGACCGACGGCCAGAGCGAGCTGAATCCATGGATGTATGTGTGTTTGTGAACATGTACTTATTGCATGAGACTTCTGTTTTCAACTGTGATTCAATTCATGTCCAACGTTTGTTCGTCCTTACATGACTTTTCATCGGTATAGTGCTGCCAGGCCTTTGCACAGACCACTTGCTTCCAAGCGGTGCCGGGCCGGGAAAGATTCTCTGTTGCCTGGTGGCTTTGGGGTCAGCTACCGGTTGAGAAATTTTGCCTCCAGGTTGTTGCCTTGGTCGCGACGTGCTGCGAACGTCGTGCAAGTGAAGGGCACGTCGTGCACAGCTGAGTTTGTGGCCAGTTTGAGCGCTGGCATGAACCAAAATCTCAGCTGCACTTAGGTATGCCCAGTTCTTGGTTCCTTGCACAGGCTGATCGAAGGGACTGACTGCGCATTCTAGGTCTACGTGATGAGAAGTGTGCAGGCAGCAGCTACGACCCGGACTTCCTTGATGACCAGAGCTTGAGGCCCGATCTGCAAATGTTGAATCGGCATCGTTGTGTGTGTGTGTTCCTCCTGCCAGGCAAGGGAAGAACCACACGGTGCTCAGGCTCGAAGGATACCACGTCCGTACCATGGTCTGCAGTGTATTGGAGATGTGCAGAAGTTCTGCCTTGGTGAGGTCTCCATCGTACCCTTTGTGCGAGCACGTCGTCTGAAGGATGAGCTCAACGACCAATTCCGTTGCAGCAGCTTGGCAAGAAGCGCACCCCGAGCAAATTTCGTCCTTATTGGTAGACCGGCTTTTTGCTGTAGTGTGCAAGTACCTGTTGTTCCGACACTCCCGAATGCCCCTAAACCCTAAACCACAAACCGTTTATGCGAGCCTGAGCTGGCCGCACAGCCCTTCAGCTGACCACTTCTGAGACTCATTCGAAACCTTGACTTGGCAGACTTTACTCGGCAAAGTCGTTGATGCCCACAAAACTACTGGCGACGATACATCTCCGAATCTGACCGGAAGCAGTAAGTAGGGAGACTTACAAGTTACAACTGCTGTGATCTTGAGCAGAGATTTAGGTATGGCAGCAGCATATCAAGCCGAGGCCACCCCCAGATTCATCCGTCGCTCACTCTGTCAAAGCTACGCAACCTGCAGAAGGCAGAATCTGCGCATTGCACCTTAGTTGGAAACCTTGTCTGGGCTCTTCAGACGCCCTGCAGGATCTTCGCGAAATCACACAGACGATGCCCGAATTGGATGTTTGCTCTGTGGCCCTGGCGTCACGGGCCCAGACAGATCCCACACAGCTGTTCCTCAAAAAGGAGACACCACACAAAGCCAGTCTCGTCCAGGTGGGTCTACTTTGAGAAGCTCGTGCTGAAAGATTGCGTGCGCAAGGCCATGGGCTGCCCGATCCGGGACGGCCTTCGCAATGGGTGGCTTTTGTCGCTTCCGACCGGATCACTGCCTGTCGCTTGTTTCCACGCATTCTGCTGTCCTGGACAGTTGCAGCAAGGTTACATGAGGATGCACCACCCCAACTGCTAGATACCCATACTTTGTAAGTCCTGAACTTAGCAAACTGAGCGCCTGATCCATGTGACTTGAAACCGGAACTCAAGTGAACAAAGCCTATGGCCCTGCCTGGAGGTTCGCGCAGGCAATCCTAGATGTTGAACGAACCTCGTATCGAAGTCCTGCATCGGCTCGTGAAGCCTCCATGCCTACCGGGTCCCTGTTATGGTAGGGGTATGCCGGTAGAATTGGTACGCCCATTACTCTTGTTAATTATTATTATTATTATGATTATGATGTGGATGATAATTCCTCTCATTATCATTCGTATTGTCATTATTATTATGATTATTATTATTCTTACTATTATTATTATCATTACTATTGTTATTGGTATTACTATTTTTTGTTATTATTGTTTTTGTTATTAGTATTATTATTATTATTGTTGTTATTATTATTACTATTATTAGGTTTTTATAGTTATTGTTATCGTTATTATATTGTTGTATGTATACATACATACATACATACATTCATACATTCATACATGCACACATACATACATACATACATACATACATACATATTATTTCGGCTACGGTCGGCACCTTGACACCATGCCCCTTCTCAGGAGCGTCAATCTTCTCCCCAGGATTAGAGCACCTCCCGTCAGGCTGAGTTTGATACGAAAGATGAGATGTGGAAGGTAGAGTCGAGACTCGTGCAACGTGACACAACACGATGTTTCTCTGATGGTCTTTAATTGAATTGAGAGGCTTACAGCATGCTACAACATGCAAGGGCAGCGGGAAAAGATGGTCACGAGTTGAGCTCATGAGATTGCAGGCCAGCCGAAAGCTCCTTGCAGGGGCATGCCTGGTGCTTGCATACAAGTGCTGCCCTTAGCCTTAGCCTCTTCTGTTCGGGTGAGACAAGTTGAAGTCATTCCGCTGCAGGTTTCACCAGCGAGGTGATCGTGAAAAAATCAGGCGATCGGAGTTCCGTCCATTACGCGAAGGCCCTCGACAAAGCCATGTTTGTCAGGAAGCTGGCTGCCGAGATCCGAAAAATGGATCGAAAGGTATCGGAAACTTCCCACCTTGCTTTGGCGACTCCAATAATTCGAGAGGATCGCTTGCAGTGGGAAGATCTTCATGAAGCCGAGCTCAAGGCTTGGGGCTGAGTCTTTGACTTGGCAAAGCTCACATTTCTCGCAGCTCCTCTCCCGCCCAAGTCCTGTCAAAGCTTTGTTGAGGGCTGGAGGCTAGGAAAGGCCGATCGGAAGGTTTCGAGGAGCTCGGGGCACCTGGCGTTTTCGAATTCCCCCTGCTTGCCGCATGTGTTTGCATCATTTTGCATCTTGTGGACTGGCCCAAACGATCACGAAGGTCTTTGTCTGGCTGGAGTTCAGCCTCCATGTTCCAGCGGCAGAGGCACCATCTTGTCAGGGCTCGGGGATGCTGGTTGCCTTTTTTTCCCTCGACGACAGGTCATACCTCATCTTCACAGAATTCTCAAGGCCTGGCGCACTGGATCTACCTTTCGCGAGCGGTAGTAGAAGCAGGTAGACCCCTCTCTGTTCGCACGAATGCATCTCTTCCCAAGCAGCAGTGTAGGAAGCTTGACTGTTGGCCCTTGCTGCTTCCTGTTTGCCCAGCCTCACAGCAAGAGAGATAAAGCTATGGTTGGACTCGGCTGTTTTGCTGTCCTTAATTCGCAGATGTACTGCGCCTTGCCGCCCATGCTGAGCGATGAGATGTTCTGCTGGTCTGCAAGGACTTGGGCATGAGTTGGCAAGAAATCGGTGAGGCAGGATGCATGCCGAGGCTGGTATTCCATCAGCAAGAGCTCATGCCGTGGACCTTTGAGTTGCCCCATGCACATTTTGCCGAAGGTGCCCTGACGATGAAGCAGATGCAGTCACGTAAGGACTGTGAATCCTCGTTTCATGGAAGTTCCGCGACAATCGGTGCGTGCAGGTGGGCTGCATGAAATGGTGGCGGCCCACCTGCAAATGTACATAGCACCATGTCACCAGCTTTTTGAGATCAAGTTTCACTTGCGTAGCATCGGGGGAATGGTTGCTTAGCGGTCAAAGATTCGTCAGCTCCGACACATGTTACATGCCTGCGGATCGGTTGCTGCACAGCGCGCAGCAAGAGCGGAACCAGGTCAGATGGAAGTGGTGTTGTTCGTATTTTCAAGACTTCCGTTAGTAAATCGCCATGAAACTCTGGAGGCTTCGATTAGCCCACCGCAGATCATCGCAGATCCTGAAAGTACGTGTGTCTCTGCTCCTGTTAAAGTTACATGTCCCAAGGCACAGCTTCAGATGGAGTACGGGCAGGATTTGTGCTTTGGTGCCTGGCTTCCATGCCGATATAGACAAGACAGACGCTCCTAAACTTCTGAAGCGTCTTGAAAGCCATGGTGATGCTGAATCTGAATGCCAAAAGTAGAGCTGCTCGCATGCATCGGTCGTCGGAGGAAGCTGTAAGGAGAAAGCTTGGTGGCGAAATCTGAGGCTATGGTGGCAAGCGCAGCGGCAGCACGAGATGGCAAGGAGACCTCAATCAATTCTGGTTACATGTTCTTTAGGCATGAGAGGCACGTTGTATTTAGACTAAGACTGACGGGCACCAGCGAGACAGCGACTGCAAGAGGAGTTTCCGGGAAGCGAGACGAGTCGGACATCACGGTCCAGGCATTGGTCAGCTGAAGCTCAGAGTCCGAACAGAGGGGCCATCACGGGCATGGGAAGGCCTTCCTCTGCTAAGCGGAGCTCGCGGCCAGCATCTGCGGGATCAAAGCCAGCCTCTGATCTCTACAGCTGCCAGCTCAGCTCCGGACACGATAGCAGATCCAGCTGGTCTCACAGGCGCGACGCGGACCATGTGTCTCCCAGTGCACCAAAGACCATGCGCACTCAGAAGTCCTCTTGCACGAATCTTGAACACAACTGTCTTGACTGTCCGACACCACGACACCAGCAGCCATGCGCCCGGAACAGAATAGCAGAGGCACAGGCTGAGCGAGAAAGTCGTGAAACAATGTTGCCCGTGCAAGTGAGCCCTAGGTTTTGAAGATTCTAGTATGAACGCGTGATGCATTTTGGACTTCTGAGGCCATTTTTGCCGCAACGAGTTTTAAGTTCATTATCCAACACGGAGAGTCTACTCCGCTTTGTGCTAAGGCTTCGGATGTTACTTGAGAGGCAGATATGCTGTGAGACGGGAAGCCATCATTCTCCTGCTGATAGTTTGACACAGTTGACAGTACTGTACCGCACCTGTGGCGTGGTCAGCGCAAGGTTATGATGCCTTCTTGGGCAATGCTGGCAAGAGGCTGTGCTGCTGCAACGTGCCGGTTGACGAACGTATATAGCCCGCGTAAGCCACATGACCAACTGTTGCCAGCTCATCCGGGTGGCGCGTAGCGCGGTGATCTCAGAGATGCTGTCTTGTCGTGCCGTGGCTCCCTCGAATCCAGAGAATGCTTGTCAAGGTGGAAAGTTCCTCGAAGTTTCCTGGAGATCGCTGCCAGCCAGCCCACAGAATGGCTGAATCTCAAGTGGGGCCCAAAGGAGTTCGACTTCAGAGAAGCTGGCGCCTCTTGGCCGAACCGTCGGGCAGAGCCCCAAAAGAAGAAAAAACGTGCAAGTTTTTCGGGTTTTTTGCAGGCACGGCTGGAGGCAGATGCGCAGCAAGCTGCGGCGCACGAGGCAGGCTTGAAATCCGTCGAAGAATGGAAGCAGCACGAAATGCCTCAAGCTGAGTCGCATCGAACGTCGCAGGCTAAACAAGCGCGAGATGGGAAGCTCAGACGCCGACGGGCTGAGCAGTTTGCGAGGCTGTGGGACGAGCTTTTCTTTTGAGTTCTCTCTATGGTAGAGGTCGCAGTACAAACTCGTGTAGTTTAGTGGAATGTGAAATGACAGGAGTCAGAGTAGCAACACTGCAACACCCTAGAGGACCCAAACCGAACCAAGGCTCATATCACGGTCCCGCCCTCTTGACTCTTGAGTCCCCGGAAAGGCAGCAAAAGCAAAGCAGCAGCGGAGAGCCCTGGCGACCGTGCTCGCGCGGAGTCTCAGTGACAGCGCTGAGTGCATTGAGTGCGGCTTCAGGGCCCCGAGCGACCACTTTTCAGGCACGGAGGCCGTCAGGCAGCAATCCCACATCTTCCTGGCCGGCGCTTTAAGTGCATGACCGCGGCTTAACTGACAGTGCACATAGCTGACATCAGTCATTCGAGAGGAATTAAACAGCACATGTGCTCTGCGGAGTTTGCTCAGGCCTGGGCACAACTCTTCCTATGGTTTGTTCTCTGACGTTCCGCCGCTGTCGGTGCGCTTGAACGGACTGCGGACTTCAAAAGACGCCATTTTCTTGTACCATTCTCATCTATATGCGTGATGCCAGGCCAGTGAAGCTGGCATGCTGCGCGCTGACGGTCCGCAGGCAGGCGTTGCAGCATCAGCACCCACCAGAATACTTGGCTTTCTTTTTCGTTTGTACAGCGGCTTTGGTCTGGATGTTCTTCGGCTTTTGTTACGCTCCAGGTATCGCAGCGCAGCCGTCCGGTGTGAGCCTCAGCTGGTGGATCAGTTTCGAACAGGCAGCGAACGAACACACACACACACACACACGTGCACACGCACACGCACACAGATATGTGTGTATATATATATATACATATGTATACACACACACACGCACACAAGAGGCTTCTGCGCAGCCATCGACCCGGAGAGCACCCGCACCCATCTGAGGGTTTCACGGTTTTTCCGCTCCTCTCCAATTTTTAAACTAGTGGCATGTGGCTGCATGTCCAAGAGGGTGCATGCTGGGTGCAACACGTGCCGACAGCTCGCGGCAGGATGCAACTGAAGACCAGCAAGCATCCGTCCGCTGCATCAGACATCGCTTGATGTCCGCTAAAGTTCATGGCGGAAAGTGCAATCACTACAGTACTGGAAACCGAACCTCACCGTGAAAGGAAAGCCGATAAGACAGTGGAACAAAAGTCGCTGCCAAAGCACATTCTGCCATGATGTACCCCCCATGTGTACCAATCTGCAGCATCTCAACCAATGAGTTGTGAAAGCATTGAAGCTCAAGTTCAAAGGCACCCGGCAAAACACAGACCTGGGCAGATCTCTCCTTAGGCAAAGCGCATGCCTAATCGCTAAGGGCAAAACCAGCTGAGACAAAAGCTATATATATATATATATCTGTAGTTATTTATATATACACATATTCTTTATATATACACATATAATATAATATAACATAATACAATGTAATATAATATAGTATAATATAATATAATATAGTATATTATAATATAATATAATATAATATAATATAATATAATATAATATAATATAATATAACATAATATAATATAATATAATATAATATTATATATATATATTATTATATTGTATATGTACACATAGAATATAATATAACCAAATTGCAGCCCTGCTCGGCCCTGGGTGACTGGCCTAGTGCGGACATCTGAGCAGGAGCACCATCACGCAGAATCAAAGCCTACTACGATGATATACTGATAGAGAGAGTGTTGGGCTCCACACTCTGTTCTTGAACGGGCTTCACCGGAACTTTTGCGAAGCTACGCAGTCTGTTGGGATTGAAGGGCGTGAAGTTTCATGTTTCAGGAAGCAGGAGGAAACCCGAAGTGGGAACGATGTGTGTGCGCGTGTGTGTGTGTGTGTGTTTGTCTGTGTCTGTGTCTGTGTCTGTGTCTGTGTCTGTGTCTGTGTCTGTGTGTGTGTGTGTTTGTTTGTGAGTCGCGGCGAGCCCGAAGCCCCTCAAAGCAGCTTTGAATTTCATACCACCGGGGGGTGGATGTATTGAATCAACCCTAGCGGCTTAGCGGGATTTCGCCAACGCGTAGAGGCCAAATGGAGGAGTCTCCCTGAAAGCAGTTCTGTCGAAAGTAACCGATCGGGGGTACAGACATTTGTGTCCTGTAAGCTCGGCGCGAGCTCGAGCCCAGCATGGGGTTGGCATAGAAGAAAGGAACAGAGGCAAGACTGCAGACCGAACTAGCATCATTCTGCACTGAATTCAAAGATCACCTGGAAAGAGTATGCCACAAGTCCTGCGGTGCAAAACATGGTCAGCGCACAGCCATGTCCTCAGTACTGTTTTGGTCATGGACAAGATCAGATCCAAGTCTTTGCACGGCCGAGGGAACTGGCAGGACCAATGCGATAAGGCACGGTTTGGCCGGATGTGGGACTTCTCGTGCCGCCGCATGTCCACGCACTGCCTCATTCTTGATGCAGGCGAGGCTCGTCCAGATCAATTTCAACTTGGCAAGGCTCCACGGCTCCACTTGTTTGCCCTCCTCAGACCCTAGCAAGTCCTGCAAGCAAGGACCACAGACTGGGGATGGCAGCCCCTTGGCTCAGGCCAGCGGGTGCTTTGAGACCTGACACTGGGCACAGCTTCGTTGGACTTAGCCGAAGTTCACCGACTCTTGCGGCCGGATCTCAGCAGATTACCCTACAAACGCAAACGTTTGTCCACCCGCCAATTCGCGAGCACTGAACGACACATCCCCAAACAGTGGTAACAAGAAGTTCGGGCATGCAGGAGACTGAGCTGTCTAACAGACTCGGTCAACCAATGCGTAAGTTAGTGGAACAGACTTGCTGCGAATTTGACAGCATTGATGTCCGAATCTGCCCAGACTGCAAAGCTTGCAGGCGCTACAGTGGCTTCTGCAACCAGCGGTAGTTTGTGCCAGCAGAGGCCATCGGGATGTATGTCGCCCTGGATAGAGAGCTGTCTGCTTAAATGGGTGGTGGTCGGAGTAAGACTATGCATGTCGATCAGAGCAGAAGCACCACCACCGCCACGACTACTGCTACCCCTGCTTCTACTCCTCCTACTTTTACTACTGCCGCTGAGGTTTGGCAACATTCCAAGAACGAGAAGCTAGCTAGCAGTTGAAGTCCCCGATACCATGAAAATCCTTTTCAATCTCAGTTGAAGTAAACAAGCATTTCATTTTTTCCTGAGCGAAACATGGCACAGTAAACCTTGCGGCAGTAACTATTTGTAGCAGGTCCGAGTCTGAAGAGCCGTGAATGCTGTGCAGTGTTTCTGGCATACTCACTAAAGCAAGTGGTGGCAAGAGATGAGCGCTCACTTCCCACCAGCAACACCTAGAAGGCTTCGTGCTTTTCCGGGTCCGCGCGTGGAAACACCACCCTGGCCATCCCAAAGACGTGTCTCGCATGGGCCAGGTTTCCACGGGGTCGCACCAACGACTTGAACAATGCATCGAAGATGGTTGCAGGCCGGTTTTACAGCTCGGTGCCGAACGGAACAGAACCTGTGCTGCAGAAGCGGCCAGGCGTGGTGAAGACAAGTTCCTGGCGAACAAGTGGGGGAATGGGGTCCTGTCCTGGGTCAAACGAGAAGTGCTCAGGAGCAGAGCGCGCAATGGAAGGCAACGAGTGCATTGTGTCACGCGTGACATGCCGAGATCGACTTATTCTGGGGCTTTTGGCCTTCCCGGTTCCTCCTGCCAGTTCTTAAAGACTTCAGAGAATGTCTGGTGTGATAGACACGACGTGGCCAGGCAAGGCGAAAACCTCTTGGCAGCAGGAACTAGCAGCAAGAATCCGAGCTTTTCGGTGAGTTACAATTCCTGCATGGCTGCCTTGTGGGTGCTGTCCTGACCTTTCTGCAGGCTTTGCGCGCAGAAGCCTCATTCCCAAAGGGCGCAGAGCTCAGTATGCAGCTGTCATTCATTCCTTTAGGTTCTCGAATTCCCTTTTGGAGAGTACGGCTTGTTGGCCCAAGGATCTTCTGCGTCGACTTATGCATCAGGTCAATTCGATGGAAGTCGTCAGACATGTAGCTTGTTGTAGGGTTCGAGTTCAGCGCCTTCAGGGTGGATCCTGCAAAAGCAACACGGAGAAAAAAATCCAGAGTTGTAAAACATTGGAAATGTATTATCAGGCTGCTTTGCCAGTCTTTCCAAAGCCTGTCCGCCACATGAGCACACGTGTAGCCGGAGATGAGCCTAGACTAGGAATGCATGGCTGACTTGTGCCGGTGGCTAGAGCGCAAAGGGCCGGATCAGTTTCGCTCGACATCACATGGATTCGAGTCCGTTCTGCTCTCTTAGATGTTGCAGTGTTGTGCAAACGGCTCATGTTGAGTCAGCGGCTGGTCTATCCGCTGTCTGCTGCTCAAGCGAAGGCAGGGTAGTCGCAATGCACAAAGATTTCGGCAGATCCCTACATGGGCGTTTTAACCAAATGCGACTTGCTTGAAAGAGGCGAGACGTGTGTTCGATGCTGCGAGTAGACATAAGAGAAAGAGGTAGCCCTAGGTTTGCAGATGGAGACATGTCGAACCAGAAGGTGCTGGCATGAGCAAAGTCGACATTGACCACTGCGTGACTCATGCGCTGAGCACAAAAGTTTCTGCCCTGCGGCAGATCCCCGTTTTTCAGCAATGCAGAGACTCTATTGTTCACAAAATTGCTCAGCAACTGCAGACAAGATTTCTTGAGCCGGGTGAGATTGTTTGTCGGAGTGGCGAGGAATCAGACCACGTATTCTTGCTGGCCTTTGGATCCGTCCAAGTTTGGTCTGACGGGCAAGAATCTGCGGATCTTTGCGACGCCGGAATCATTGGTGATCCTCGGGTTTTACTTCAATCATGTGTGGAGAATCAGCACAACGTGGTGGCAAAGACTTTCTGCCAGATGCACATGCTTACATCTTCCCAGTTCAGACAAGTTGCCGGCATCAAGGATGATGTCCAAGACCTGTCTAGATGTCTAGAACAGTTGAAGATCCCATGGCCCACGACGAGGAAACCCTCCTTCCTACGTGCTGCAAAAGCACAGTTACGAGTCGTGCAGTTTGTCAATGCGATCAGTGCAGGCCCCGCTGCTACGGAGAGTATCGACACATGAACGTTCCATGAAGTGCCAAGCCTGAGACTTGAAAGGCCGGAAGAAAGCTCCAGCAGTGGCTCCTCCACCGCGTCCTCCGGAGCCAAAGCCACAAGCGAAGAAGGACAGTGCCGCGAAGCGAAGGCATTCTGCTGGGGTCTCCTCTTGCGTCGTCAGCGACATGGGTCTTGGTCGGAAATATCTAGGTAAGAGAGCCCTGTACTACAACCGAAGGCAAACAGCGAAGCTGCAAACGGCGAAGCTGCACGGAAAGCTGAAGGCCAACAAGGCCATCCTTTCCAGATCTCGGCCCGAAACTGCCTTTGCTAGTCGCGAGTCCTTGGGCCCTTCGGTCCTTGAGCGATGCAGGACAAGCTTGATGAGGGGAACGAGGCCGGTCGCCGTTCAGATGTGCAGAATCCAGACACCTGCACCGGTTTCGAAGCCATGTTCGTGCTGAGGAGAGGGAGACGAGTAGTGGACAGAAGCAGGCTGCTCAGGAAAGGCAGTAGCTGTATTCGTCAAGAGGGCATTGCAAGTCGCTGCCTGTACTACCTGGCAAGTCCAAGGGATACCCTCACCTTTAACAGCGAGGCGCACAAAAGTTACCAAAGGAAGAGCGCCAAGACTGAGAGCCTGAGCTGTACGAGGCACAGAAGATGGAAATCTCCAAGTCCCTTCAAGCCATCGACTTCTTCTCTACGCTGGAGTCGAGAGTCGACGAGAGTGTCAGGCGGACATGCAGTCGCCTCGTCCACAGGACACCTTCAGCTTCGAGCGCTTGATCGCGCTGTTTCAAAAGAAGTTTTGGAGGCACGTCGGGGCCGGCCAGTGAGAGTAGGCATACGAGCATGTGCGTGGTTACGCCACTAAGGAAGAACGAGCCGCTTCTCACTGAAGGCAAGCCTGCCAAGGTGCAAGAATGCGTTGCTAGCGATCTCACGCCGGGAACAAGTCTTGTCCGCACCCTGCAGACTTCCTGCTGTTGCTGGCACAGGCTATGCACGTCGTGCTGCAAGGTGATGTCAACATCATCATCGGTGGCAAGGTCCCGTGATTATTGCGGAAAGCATCGCGCATTAGACCAAGCACCGAAGGTCCTGAACAAGTTGGGCGTCGTGCTCAGCTTGGGCATGAGGACAGGAATATTGAATATTTGGGTCTGGACAAGTCCTCTCAACCCTAAGAACGGGCCCTAAACCATATCCCCAGGCTCAAACTCGGTGGTTGGCGAGCGCTCGGTGCCCGACCAAGTTGGACTCCTGTTTCCAGCATGGTTAGGGCTTCGCGTTGCGGTTTTTTGGGGCGGGTTCCCACGAGCCAGTTCCAGGAAGATTGGGGGTCCCGTTAGTGCTGCTTTGTGCATTAAGGACTGCCAGCTTGCTAGTTCGGACAGGAAGTATTTCAGTTTGTGAGTGCACACGTCCTGCAAATGGCACGACCCGAGCTCGTGATCAATCACCTTCCTACAGTGTCCAGTCAGTATTCACTTACAACTTGCTCAGATATCTGCAATTGAGCAAATTTGGAAGTTCTTGGCTTCAATGACAGCTGGCCCGGTTTCGCATCCAAAGGCGCGTTCCTCAAACCACACTAGCACGGAACCCCTGGAGGCAAGACACAGCTAAGATTATGTTCCTCAGAACTGAAACGCTCTCCCTAAAACAAGCTCTTCTGTGAAATGTTCAACGGCGGTTACAGGACTCCACGGTTCATGGCGTTCACGAACACATGAGCTCTGAAGCTCTAATGCGCAGCGGCGTGAGCCGGTTAGATCGAGAGAAGGATCAGGGTTTGACTTAACAGTGTCACGCAAGCAGCAAGATTGGCGAAGTATTTCGGTACGTCTATTCGTGCCACGTCCCGCAGCAACCTTTGTGTTCAATGATGTGGTGTCATTTGCGATCGTAGTGGCTTGTGAGCTCCATACCACGACTGTAAAGCTTTCAGGTTCTGAGTTCGACTTCCGGAGACCCTGCACCTTGCGGCGCAACAGTCACGGCAGCCAGGATCCAAGCTTCTATGGAACGTCAAAATATGTCAGAAATGTGTTGAAATCATCGGTGTCCTTTTGATAGCATTAGACACTGGGCATTCATCAGGCCAGCCCGATCGTGATGACCGCGTCTGCGACTCGTGTGCATCTTCAAGATCTCTTTTTCAAGGACTGCATGCTGTGCGTGACAAGCTTCATAAGAGGTGGGCTGTGCCTCTGCAAACCCTCGTTTCCGTAGAGCCGTGCGAGCTTAAGCTAGAGACTATCGGATCGTCCCCATCACCATGCTTGCAAAAGTTTCCCCCCTTTATCAACTGCTGCAGCGCAGCGCAGTCGAGGTTGCACCGGACACCAAGACCACCCTTTGCTGCCTTCACACGGGAAGCAACTGTGTAGAAACAGTAGTTTTATTGCGATAAGCATCATCGCGGGACAGTACAAGTTGTAGTTCCCCGCCAGCCACAGCAAACACTGACACTGCCACTGTGCCGACCTGATATCTGCAGACCTCAAAGCGAGCTCGTGTTTTTTTGCAGCAAGTTGATGAGGAATTCCTCAAAGGCTTGCGGCGAAACGGACACCTAGCCAAGCCAAGTCGCACCTAAGCCATCCGTGCCTGTGAATAAAGCTCCAAGCCGCATTCAGGAAAGACACCTCCGCCAAGTTTTGCAAGTCAAGCAGCCCTTTAAGTCTATCTGACTACCAAAGCCCTAAACGCAGACAGCTGAGACCTAAGCAGGACGCCGGGCTTCTGGAGCACTTCCAGTCGAGATTCGATGTCGAGCGCCACCGTCGGGGTGTGACCAGTTTTCGGAGACCCGGCTGCGCCTACAAGAGGTCCGCGTAACATTGGCCTTGTGACAGTGGGAGGATCCTTGCTTAGTGTAAGGATCCCCCAAGAGCTGGACCTGTAAGATGGACCGTCTGTAACTAGCAGGACCTTTGGTCTCCTCAAGAAGGGAGCAATCGGCAATGCCTCAGGAATGTGAAGCTTTTCCGCGAAGCAGACCCCGGCTTCACGCAGGCCGTTTTGCAAGAGCAGAGCAGCAGTCATGGTTTGCTACAGTGGACGAGCAACAGCCATGGATAAGGCTGGTGGCAGTCGTACCTCTTAGCAGCCAATCCTTGACGAGTCCTGCCTGGACGACCCGAACCCTTTTTCTTACTTATTATGTGCATTGAATTGCGTTTGCACCAGGTACTAAAGTTGATGCCAGACAGCAACGTGTTTCTGCATAGAAATCTCCCGCAAAGCCTTCAGAGCGAAAGCAGATCGAGCATCCCGGGAAGGCATTGGAAGTGGCAGTGAAGGAGCGTGTTTACAACGATGGCGAGTATCTGGTGACCGAGGGAGTGGAGTGTCATGAGGTGCTATCGGCACATGTCCCGTGGAGTTACACTGCACAGCTTTGTGCCAAACGTAGATAATCAGTTTTGTTTGGAACACTATTTTGTGAAAGGCGGTCATGCTCTGCCGTGGTACAGTGAACATCCTGAGTGACGACGTCGTTGTAGTCACTTGGTTGCATCGAGCACGCAGGCTCGCGCTGTGTTTTGACAATTTGACCGGCGCCAGCAGACATCAAAAGACATGGTCGGCATGAAAATCTATTCGATAGGGCATGAACGAGGTCGTAGCCGCTCTGCACAGACAGGTGCAAGCATTCAGCCAGGTTTTCGTTCAAGCGGTTGGACGAGGAGGCAACAGAAAGAGCCAAGAACAAAAGGCAGCCAGTGTTTCAAACGGACTCCGTACAGGAAGTCAGAAAGTACCGATGCTGAAAAAAGGAGTTGCGCAGGCGAGCCGTCAATCCGAAGCCAAAGCCGTTACCCTCTGGGTCTGGCAATGAGTTTGTTCGCCCGGTTGGCTGTTCGTGGCTTGTCGTTGTTTCGTCGTCACGAGTCTTTGAAGGCTAGCGTGGAGAGCGCCAGCTGCTCCTACCTCCGTATTGCAAGCCTAGTCAAAAAAACATCAACACTGCTGCTTGCATTAGGCTTAAACCGAACAAGATGTTTACAACTAGCCATCAGCTGAGGCGACCATGACTGTTGAGTGGGCCTGCCTGGTTGCAGGAAGGCACGGCGGCATGCAAGAGAATCTTTAGATTCGCGCGGCAGGCAGATGGAGGACTCCGTCATTTTTGGGGAGTTTACGCTGATGGGCATTTGGGATGCTCCCAGAGCCTCCATTGTGGCAGTGAATACATGCCTGGTGCAGGCCGATGCCTGCTTGCTCTTGACCACGGTGTTTGTTTCTTTGCAGCTTGAAGGGCTTAAGGGATCATACCTTACGGGAAGTCTAAGAAACCTACATGTCTAGTGCTTCTTAATATGCTTATATATATATATATATGGGTGTTG